GCACAAATGACGCTATCATACACATGCTAGAACTAGTATATACCGCACTTGAAAAGAAAGAAGTCCCGCTGGGCATTTTCATTGATTTATGTAAAGCTTTCGATACAGTCGACCATGAACTGCTGTACTCCAAATTAATGCACTCTGGTGTCAGAGGCCACTCCCTCAAATCATACCTTAGTAACAGAACTCAATATGTATAAGCAAATGATGCAAACTCTTACATTCAACCAGTCACAGTAGGAGCCCCACAAGGAAGCATCCTTGGACCACTCCTCTTTCTCATCTACATCAATGATCTACCGAATGCATCACAGCTACTCAAACCCATATTATTTGCAGATGACACTACATATATCTTTTCCCACCCAAACACAGTCATACTAGCAAACACAGTCAATGCTGAATTACAGAAAATATCTGCCTGGATGATGACTAACAAACTTACCCTGAACACTGATAAAACCTATTTCATTCAGTTTGGAAACAAAGCTGCAAATTATCCAATTAACATAACGCTAAATGGATCATCAGTCACAAGACTCACAGAGGGAAAATTCCTAGGTATCCACCTTGACAGTAGCCTTAAGATCCGGACACACAACAAATCGCCAAAAAAATCTCCAAGACTGTAGGCATACTAACAAAGATAAGGTACTATGTTCCACAATCAGCTCTCTGGCACTGTACCATTCACTCATATACCCTTATCTTACATGTGGAATTTGTGCATGGGGATCAACAACATCCAATCACCTAAAACCCCTAATAACCCAGCAAAAGGCAGCAGTAAGAATGATAACAAATTCCCACTCCTGCCAGCATACTCCACCAATTTTCAGAAGTCTGAATCTGCTCACCATTAAGAACATCCATGCTTATTCATGTGCCTACTACATACACAGAACAATACACGCAAATATAAACCCTCCACTCAAACTTCTTCTCACCAACCTAAACAGGACACATGACCACAACACAAGACACAGATCTCTTTTTGATGTACCTCGTGTCCATATCACAGTTTAAAAACTCTATGCACATAAAGGGCCCCAAAATATGGAATTCATTACCAGAAGATATTAAAGTAACCAAGTCTGAAAATCAATTTAAGACTCTTCTCAAAACTCAATCACCCTAGACTAAATACTAAATACTCAGTACACACTTACTTACCTATGTACTCCCACATCATAACTGAATCACTTTGAACCTTTTATCCATTGTTGACAGGAATATAATTGAGTCATTGTTTTCACAAAGAGCATTTTTGAATATAAATATATTTTTGTCTTATACAAATTTTGATTCATTTATAATTACTATCCTACTGTACAACTATGATATACTCCTTAGTGTTAAGTAGACTGTAAGCCAATAATGTTAAGTTGGCCCATAATACCTAGGCATAATAGAGGCTCTCTTTGCATTGCAACCCACTATTGTAAATACAAAATCTCAATGTACTGTTTGCAAGACATAAAATAAATAAATAAATAAATAAGCAGGGGGGTGACATGGACCTCCCCTGCATGGGCCAGTAGGCTTGCTACAGTGTTCCTTCTTTCTTATGTTCTAATGTATTTGGCTGGCTGGCTTTGGCTGTCTCTGTCTGTATCTGTCTGTCTATATATCTGTCTGTCTCTGTCTCTCACATGTACTCATAAGTACAGTTCTTTCTCTTTCAACACACCGGCCGTATCCCACCGAGGTGGGGTGGCCCAAAAGGAAAAACAAAAGTTTTCTTCTTTCACATTTAGTAATATATACTGGAGAAGGGGTTACTAGCCCCCTTGCTCCTGGCATTTTAGTCGCCTCTTACAACACACATAGCTTATGGAGGAAGAATTCTGTTCCACTTCCCCATGGAGATAAGAAATAAACAAGAACAAGAACTAGTAAGAAAATAGAAGAAAACCCAGAGGGGTGTGTATATATACAGGAAGGCCCCGCTTTACGGCGTTTCACTTTACAGCGTTCCGCTAATACGGACATTTCAAATTATGACCAAAACTCGCTATACGGCTCCCCCCACCTGACTTTCTAATACGGTCACCGTGCCCCACCCTGTTTGTTTACATTCTCCATGAGCTCAGTAAGCACTAAGTCTCTCCATTTTGTCTGGAAACTCCAAAATTTCAAATGTTTTTAAAAGTTATTTCATATTTTATATATACTCTGATAATTATACTTATGTATACCTGTACCTAAATAAACTTACATACTGTGCTGGCATGCAGGTACACATTAAAATTGGTAAGTGTCTTATGTCTCCAGACGTCATATTAGTAATAATAATAATAATCATCGAGTCATTTAAATGTCGTATATTACGTTAATATACATATTTTCATTAATCCATCCATGATATTTTTTTCAAAATTATATAATAAACACGATGCATAACATATAAATAAGATAAATACACCCCACAGTAGAATAAATAAACATAAATGTGAGATGTGGTAGCAGACGACTTGCACAAGTGACGCCATATTAGAAATGATAATAATAATAACAATACTCACCGAGTCTCATTAAATGTCGTATATTACGTTAATATACACATTTTCATTAATCCATCCATGATATTTTTTTCAAAATTATATAATAAACACGATACATAACATAAAAAGATGATAAATACACCCCACAATAGAATAAATAAACATAAATATAAGATGTGGGAGCCACATAACTTGTACAAGTGATGGCAAGAATAACATTTTCTCTAATCTAACATAAGAGAAAATGTGTTACTGGGGGTAACTGTAGAAAATTATTCCTTTCGTATGTATGTAAGTAAGTTTATTCAGGTATACACAAATACAGTTACATAGATTATCATACATAACAACATACGTGTAGAGAACCTAGGATAACCCAAAAAAGTCAGTGTGACTTATTTCCATTGCCTTCACTCAGAGCTTCATTTCTTCTCAAAATGATGTTACATGAGAATGGGAGTGTTCTTCTTTATTAATTCTACCGTATCAATGTAGAGACAACCTGTACACAATGTAACTTGTACACAAACCAGACGTGTACACTTCGTTTGTTTACAAAACTTACGTTCACCTGGTTTGTTTACATAACTCTGCGCCTGTCCCCTCTCATGTACTCATTCTTTCTCTCTCTCATTCGTTTTATCTCATTTACTTACTCCTGACCCTACATTAAGACTACAAATATTTTAAGGTAAGTAATGAGTGAACTGTATATACATTTTATCGCTCTGGGATGCTTAAATATCATAGAATAGTATGTGTGGGTGGGGTGGTCTGGTAAGGTAGCCTGGCTATTACCATACATACCACACTTGATTTCTTACAATAAATACTACTTGTCTCACCCTAGATTAAGACTATAAATATTTTAAGGTAAGTAATGAGTGCACTATGTGTGTATTGTACTTTTTTATTGTTTTTTGATGCCTGGTTCTATTGCTAACTTAATATATGTTAGTGTAAACTTGTTATCTAGTGTTTGTATGCATTTATAAGTGGAAAAAAAGGGTGTTCCACTTTACGGCGGTTTCCGCTTTACGGCGGTAGCCTGGAACCTAACCTGCCGTATAAGTGGGGCCCTCCTATGCTTGTACATGTATGTGTAGTGTGACCTAAGTGTAAGTAGAAGTAGCAAGACGTACCTGAAACCTTGCATGTTTATGAGACAAAAAAATGGACACCAGCAATCCTACCATCATATAAAACAATTACAAGCTTTCATTTTACACTCACTTGGCAGGACAGTAGTACCTCCCTGGGTGGTTGCTGTCTACCAACCTACTACCTATAAGTGTTTGTAGATATAAGACATAAATAAACATGACCACACACACAAGACAGAAAGACAGATAAGCTGAACTAGACAGACAGATAAGCAGAGCTAGGCAGGCAGAAAGACAGACAGATAGATATACAGATAGAAGACAGGCAGATGGATAGACTGATAGACATACAGAGACATGTTTGTGTGCAAGAGTAAAAACATATAAAGGCAAGGTTACCCCCTCCAGCAGTGCACATTCATCATATGTCTCTTGTTATCTGACACTTGTCATAACACCATTCTTCAAGGCACACACAGAAGACAGAAAGACAGATAAGCAGTGCTAGGGAGACAGATAGATATACAGATAGACAGGCAGACAGACAGATAGACTGACAAACAGATCTACAGAGACATGTTTGTGTGCAAGAGTAAAAGCACATAAAGGCAAGGTTCGCCCCTCCAGCGGCTCACATTCATCAAATGTCACTGGCTGTCACTTATCTGACCCTTGTCATAACACCATTTTCCAAGGAGTTATCTGACTTTTGTCATAACACCATTTTCCAAGGAGTTTCATACTCCAGCGTGTCTAAAACATTGCTGGGACCTATAAATACTTTGTATATATTTCTAGACAATAGTCAGTGACCAAGGCAGGTGAAAATGTTCACCTGTCAGTGTGATTGTTACTATTTGAGTACTATTTCAGTACATAATTTTAGTGTCAGAACAAAGATTGGCTATGACATCACAAGAACTGTTATAAATTGTAATTATCAGAACATAATAATTATGTAAATTAAAATAAAAACGAGAAAAAAGGTAAATCGGCAACACTTCTGCAAGCGGCAGGACTGGATGTTGCCGTCAGGTGAGCATCCAGAGCCAACTTCACGGTCTTATACCTCGGTAAGTACTGGTCCTAATGTTGTTGTTTTTTGTCTTATACCACACAGAAAACTACCCTCTTTAATTTAAAAACAAAAAGCGATTTTTTTATTATTCAAAATATTTGGAGTGCCATGCAGGTGAACTTAGGTCTACGTTTTGACAGTTTAAGGGTTAATAAATGTCTTGCATGTGTGTTTGTTGCTCATAATTTGTTGGTATTCACCATAGTAGTTCTACTGTTCATATAGTTTCCATATAATCCCTTTCTCATTTTTATTTGTCATATTTTCTTGATTTATTATATTATTGTGTTTAACATATATTCATTGCATCAGGTCGTAGCGAAGAAGCTAATAAAGCATTAAGTGCAGCTGTTCAACTTCATGACACACTGGTAAAAGCCTGGGCTCTCTGGGGAGACTATTTGGAGGCTCTTTTTACCCATGACCCAACAAACCACACCAACTTTGGAGTTTTTGCTATAACGTGTTATCTCCATGCATCACGACACCAGAATGAATCCAAATCCAGAAAGTATCTTGCAAAGGTTGGTATATTTGGCATGATTTTCTTGCAAGTGAATTGTTGGGAAAACTTTGTTGAATTTCCTACTCTAAGGTAAAATATATGTTTTGGAGAATGTAGGTAACTTTTACTGTATGTGGCTGAAGATTTGAATGGGCTAACAGGCTTTGAAATGCTGACCCCATGGTCCTGAAGCAAACCATGCTATCGCTGCCCCACAGATATTAACATCACTGGTGCACTGGTAACATGGTGCCCCTCACCCTTGAGATCGGCAGTTGAGGCCTGTGCAATTGTTCACTTCTCATAATACATACTGTTACATGCTCGTTAGTATGAAACTTCCATCCATCCTTCTTTCTCTCTCCCTTGTTTCCCTCCCTCCTGCTTTCCTTCGTACTTATCTTCCTTCCTCACTCCCTTATTTTTACTCCTTACCTCCATCTCTTTTTATTCCTTTCTTTGCATACACTCATTCATTGCTACATCCCTTCCTGCTTCTCTTTCTCCTTCCCATCCTCCATTCACCTTCCTTCAGCTACCTCTCTCTACCAGATAAATATGATCCCATCACACATGCGTAGGATGAACATGTGCAAAAATTCATGTATTGATCGAAAACAGCCGACAAAAAATAAAATCCAGTATCTGTTTACAAATCCTATCAGTTACCAGCCTCAGCGAATTTGCGACCTGCAAGAAAAATATGTGTTGACACAAACACCACTAAATATTACCCATTTCACTGTCTCCTATGTAGATATACATTATTCAGGCCAGTAGCACTTACGTATACAACCTCTCCTCACTTAACGACGGAGTTAGGGGCCTAAGACCTCATCGGTAAACGATTTGATTGTTAACCGAGGAATTACCCCTTACTGACACTTCAAAAGTGTCACCACCCAAAATTAAAACATTCAGTTTTATGTTTGTTGGGAAATGCTTTTCGATCTGTTTATTATTAACGGTAATACAACATGAAATAGGTCAATAACATACTTTCAAGATATTCCAGGAAACGTGTGCATAGCTGATTGCTTGGGTTTTTTTTTCAAGAAAATTGCACTTTTTTCAGTCTTTTCATGGGTAAGTGTGATTTTCTATAGTTACCCTTCAGGTGCATAATGCTTTCTGTTATGGTCGCAGTCACTTTTTTTCTTTCCCTCCCGGCCCTCCACCCTTAATACCTCTCTATGTAATGTCAGTTTTTATTAATTTGGGCATCTTTATCATGCTTCTAAGTTATTTATGTTATACTTAATATTATTCTGGAATAAATATGATAGGTAGATAACCTTTATTGATAGTAATAGTATAATTATACAGTAGACCGTCATTTAGCACATTAGTCACGTTCCTGAAAATGCCGTGTTAGGTAAAATCATGTTAGATGAACTGAAGAACTTGTGGGAAAAATAGGGTTACGTTCCTGGGAGCCCCAAAAAAGCTAAACCACTTTTATTTAGGCCTCCACGTCTTACAAAAATAAAAGTGAATATGTAGTTTTAGTTCATTGTTATGATATGTTGTTTTTACTGCTTAAGACTACAAATGTAACAGAAATAATAGTATTTCTTACCTTAAATTGTGGTGTTTGTGGATGATTGTGAAGAGAGTGAAGAGTTATGCTGTGGCCTTACTGGGCTGAGGTGGATGATAGAGGTTCTGGTACTGAAGTTGATGGTTGTACTGGAGTGTCTAACTTTGTCATTCAGTCAAGTCATTCAGTAAGTCAAGTCACTTAGTACATCAGTCAAGTCATTCAGTAAGTCATTCAGTCAAGTCACTCAGTAAGTCGAGTCATTCAGTAAGTCAGTCAAGTCACTCAGTAAGTCATTCAGTCATGTCACTCAGTAAGTCATTCAGTCAGTCAAGTCACTCAGTAAGTCAGTCAAGTCATTCAGTCAGTCAGTCATTCAGTAAGTCAGTCACACAGACTCATGTTTACCTCTTTTTCTGTGTACAAAGTAACACTTTATTATGGATACAGGTTATCTCTTGTCTCACATATTTGTTTCTTTGTTAAGTGCTTATACCTCTTCGTGCCACCTTCAGCAACTACTGGGTGTCATGATTGCTTGGCAGATACAAGATGTAGTAATTAAAATATCCTAACACAATTCACAAACACAACTGCCTTGTAGCAGAGAAAGACTGGACTGGACACGTATGAATTACGAACGCTAGGATGGTGGGATGGTGTCAGGGAGTGGTAGGGGATGGCAGGAGGGTTCCCCGGCTACTCCACAACAAGGCAGCCACTTAAGCAAAAGAGATTTTTTTTTTCTTTTCCACAAACTGAATCGTGTTAAATTAATTATACGACGTGTTACATAAAATTGTGCCGCAATTCTTCAGTCGTGCAATACCCAAATCATGCCAAACAAACTCGTGCTAAATGACGGTCTACTATACAATATTTTATAGTGCCGTGAGCTTACAAGGCTGTACATCATGGTGAAGCATGAGTTACTGAGAGGCATTGCTGACGCCTTCTCCCTCTCGCTCATATAGCCCCGCACACCCTCCAGTACCTCTCCATATATGTCAGTTTTTATTAATTTGGGCGTCTTTATCATGCTTTCGCTGCCTAGTTATTATGGCTTGAAATCCTGTCGATGCTTTCACTGCCTCTTTCACTCTATCTTTATCCTTCAAGATAGTGGAAATGGTAGAATGCCCCAGCTTCAAGTCATCGGCTGTCACTTGCACTTTCTAACCAGCCTCATACTCGTTTATAATCTTCATTTTCACCTTGAGATCGAGAGCCTTCCTTTGTCTCTTGGCACTTCCTTGAGGTAAAGTCAAGATCTTCCTTTTTGCCAACATCTTGTACTATGGGATGCACAATAAATGCAAATTCTGTTCAGATATGTAGTCTTGAAGACCGTGAAAGCTAGTGTACTCAGTGGCTGTAGGAAGCAGTCTGAGATACTTGACGCCAAGACGCTGTGCTGCCTGTTTCCATGACCCAAGTTCTCGTATGGCATAAAATCCTAATAATGATAATAAAATACTAATATGTAATAATACAGTGGTACCTCTACTTACGAGTGCATCCACGTGCGAGTTTTTCCAGATACGAGCAGTCACTCGGTCGATTTTTTGCATCCAGACATGAGCAAAATTTCCAGATGCGAGTGGGCCTCAAGGGAGATTCCTTGATGCTGGTGAGGGGCTCTTTCTCTTGATCTAGGGAATTGGAGCTCAGTTGTTTTTTGGACTATCATATTGAAACTTGGGCAATGTATGATGGAAAGATGCTTCTTAACATACACCAAAAATGAAAGAAATCAGACCATAAATAAAGGAGTTCACTTCTCAGCCATTAGCCTCCCTTAGCAGTATATTTTGTATGGTTTTTATGGTTGTATTCTGGGTTTTTTGGTCTCAATTGATAGAATGGAAGATATATTACAGAAATAGATATGATTTTGACTGGTTTCACAATGAAAAGTACCTTGAAATGGAGCTCAAAGTAGCAGAAATGTTCAATTCTTTGGCAGTGTTCAAGAGTAAACAAATGACGTCACCGTCCAGTACCTGTCCGATTAGCACTGCCCTGCAACCTTTACATATTGGAGAGCTCTTCAACATGCTAACAAAAGTGGGAGCAGACATCATGAGGTAGCAGTGGCAGACAGCATGAAGCAGCAGTGGCAGACAACATGAAGCACCAGTGGCAGACATCATAAAGCAGCAGTGGCAGACAACATAAAGCAGCAGTGGCAGACAACATGAAGCAGCAATGGCAGAAAACATGAAGAAAGCAGTGGCAGACAACATGAAACAGCAGTGGCAGACCTTGTACCCTATACTACAAATGAGTTTCCAAACACCATCACGAGATGGCAGTATGTATCAAAGCAACGCTCAGTGCACCACTCGCGGTGGAGGAAATTCTCATGTTTTCCTTACGTTTCGTGCAATTATTTTGCAAAATTTCTTGTTTCTAACCATGAGTCCTAAGAAAGCAAGTGCAAAGGACAGTGCTGAGAAGAAAAAAAGGTTTGGTAGCTGACATTTAAACCACTCCAGAGTGATTATTATTATTATTATTATTACCTTTTTTTTTTCTTCAAAAAGTCGGCTGTCTCCCGCCGAGCAGGGTGGCCCAAAAAGAAAGAAAATCCCAAAAAAGAAAATAATTTCATCATTCAACACTTTCACCTCACACACACATAATCACTGTCTTTGCAAAGGTGCTCAAATACAACAGTTTAGAAGTCCCTCCAAACTGTCAATATCCCAACCCCCTCCTTAATTAACCCTTTGACTGTCGGTGTTGTATTAATGTGTCTTACGAGCCAGTGTTTTTGACTCATTAATACGCCAAAATTCTAGCAGCTTCAAATCAAGCAGGAGAAAGCTGGTAGGGCCACATATGGGAGAATGGGTCTGTGTGGTCAGTGTGTGCAGTATAAAAGATCCTATAGCACGCAGTGCATAATGAGAAAAAAAAAACTCCGACTGTGTTTTTGGTTTAAAACGCTGATTTTGCAGTGTATTTTCGTATAGTATTTATGGTTGTATTTTCGTTTTCTTGGTCTCATTTGATAGAATTCAGTACATATTACAGAAATGGAGATGATTTGATTGGTTTCACAATGAAAAGGACCTTGAAATTGAGCTCAAATTAGTGGAAATGTTCTATTTTTGCCTATGTTCAAGAGTAAACAACTGACATCACTGTCCAATAAGTGTCCAACTAGATATTCTAATGTGCAGTCACTAATGAGTTGACATTATGTATACAATTACTACAATAATGCAGTAGTCTGCATAACAGTAAATCTTCTATTTTTGGTGTGAATAAAAATTCAAAATAGAAAGCTTGAGTAATATAAGAGGGGCCTGGATACATGACTAATGAACAGAGAAAATGTTATTTTAGTGCCAGGAATGTCTGCATTGTTTATTCTGGACCCTATTTTGAAATAGGCATCTTTTTTTAATTTGCGTGAAATTGGCCAAATTGCCAATTTCTGACCACTTTATTGGGTAGTTGAAATTGGTAAA